AACTTTGTATTGGCCTCAAGCTTTCTTTCACTTGAAAAATGGCTGCCAAAAGGCAGTGGTGGTGCATGCCTTTAATCCAGCACTTGGGAGGCAGAGGCAGGAAGATTTCTGAGTTCGAGGCCAGCCTGGTCTGCAGAGTGAGTTCCAGGACAGCCAGGGCTATACAGAGAAGCCCTTGTTTCCAAAAACAAAACAAAAACCCCAAAAACTGGCTGTCAATAATTTTATATATTAAAATTAGCATTAATTCGTATACCTATGTGTACACACACACACACACACACACACAAACTAATTTAGGAACCAGTTAATTACAAGCACCATTAAAGAACTCTTACATCCGTCTGTTAGCTGGTGTATACACTGTTTATATTGTCTATCATAACCAAACTTTGGAAAGAACTTGAAATCCACTGATAGAATCAATTCAATAATATAGGTAATGAAAATGAAGTACAATTTGCATCTAAAAGTGCAGGTTAGTACTATAAACAGTTTTGAAACAAAAAAGTTATGTTAACACAAATGATGCTGAAATTTTTGTGAAATTCAAAGATAATATTTACAATAATATTAACCACAACTCATAAGGAATTACTCTCTGTCTGATACTTCTAAATTTTACACACAGCAAACACATACTTTCATGAATTCTCAAACTTGTTTAAATTTACTGGCTTTGGACCACTTTGATTTTTCTGAAAAAAAAATGTATGTAGTGCTATAATAAATATTTGAACCATTTATGAAAGAATTATTCTGACATCAGTTATATTACAAAACTAACTATAGGTGAGCCTAATTAGGAACTCTTTGTTTCCCCCTGGAAGTCATGTATTTACTTGTACTTTGGTCCTCATGTATTTGTTAATATACATGACTATCATTGTGTAGATAATCATGAAAAGTATGTGAGGCTTAGGAACTGGTTTTGGTTATTGGTTTTGTTTGAAATGAACAGTCAGAATCTGGCTAAAGTTTCAAAAGCCTCTAGGGTCACTAATGTGGACTAACAGATCCACATATCTTTCCATAAGGACATGTATAAGACTGCATCTGGGGAAGCATGCACAGAGAATGTCTTGCAGCAATATGTAGTTGAGCACAGTGAGTGGTAGTATGCATTTGCTGCTTGTATTAGTATTAATATAAGGCCAAGTATTAGACTTAGTGTTTCATGGTCAACTTATTGATATGTCTGGCTCAACCTCCCTTAGGAGATTTGAATTTAGGATTTACATATCCTAAGAGCAGTTTTATCTAAGATAATAATTATTCTCTGTTGAGTTTTGTTATTTGAGGCTACTTTTATTTCTCATGACTTGGCATACAAGAAAATCCCAAATTACTATTTGTACTATGTTGTTAGTTGAAAGATAAATGCTCATTTATATGCTACCTCTTGGTGTTTCTTCATCTCAGATAGTCCTAACAGTTGTAATGTCAGAATAAAATAAGTTTTAAATGAGGTAGACTTTTAAATGAAAATCAATAGTGCATTTTCCCTAAAACAAAATGGCTTTGAGAACTACTGTAGATTATATTTCTAAAGGTAAATATTATTTTCATAGGTCTTGGAAAGTGACTTTGAATTTTTATTCCTCTAAATGGGTGTGGTGGTTTTATCTGCTGATAGAAATTCTAATAAATGTTCACATTGAGATGTATCTAGTCATTAAAGTGTAATTTACACTATAAAATATTAGAAGTTAATGTAATCCATAAATAAACTGACATACTTTATTTGATGCTGTACCTCGTTTCTATTTATTTTCCTCAAGCAAGAATTACAGCTTTATTCCTGAATGTTTGTACATCCTTTTATCTACAATCTACCCTTTCTAACCCATCTCAAATTTTATGTATTCATATACATGTCTACACAAGTATACATTTAATGCACTTTTGCTTGAAGAAGCTTCAGTTCATTGTTGTTGTTTTTTTTTTCAAATTGCTAATTCTTCCTGCCTGTCTTAAGTTGATTTCTCCATCTGCCAATGGCCTGTACTTGACTGTTATCATGTGCAACCCTATTAGAGAGAGACACACTTGCTTACAAATGCAACTTACTGCTCCCCCCCTCCCACACACACACACACATTGTGATGAGGCCTAGTCTCCAGGTACACAGATAGCAGCTCAATACTACAGAAAAGAATTTGAACTTAGGCTAGCATCCTTTCCCCCTTTTATATTTCTGAACAACAAATAAGTTGATTTGATTTAACAGGATATACTGCTGCTGTTTCCCAAAACTACTCATACAAGTACTTGGGAGATAACAGTTGGAAAGTAGGACCTTGGTCAATGCTATTGTCTTAGTGTTCTATCTCATAGTTTAATGCCTAAATTCTTCTGAAATGGTCCTGTCTTGCCTTGGAAAACTCTAAATCATCAGGCTTTAGCTGTCCGTTCAAAAATATAATTGTCACCTTAAAGAGGGGATTAAAAAATTAGCTTTTCTAGAGCCAAACATATGTGACACTGGCCTGGGAATATGAATTTTCTTCACTCATTCTATGTTTCAGTATATAATTGTTTCATGAACTATTATAGTACCTGAATAAGAAAATCATAAATCAAGACACCTTTCAAATACACTGGTGTAAACATCACTTAAGGGAATGAAAGCAAAGAGAAAAGTGTCTGATTTAGGTCTCATGCTCTCTGATGATATTCTTAGCCTTTTGATTTGTGGAAGTTAGTCGTCTGTTTGTATATTCTCAAAGATTTACCTAATAATCACAAGGGTGTCAGGTCAGAAAGATGGACAAGCAATGGCTATTAAGTGGACTAAAAGTAGCCCATGATAAATTGCAATTAAGCTCGGGACCCGAAACACTCTCCACATTAATTGAAATTCTAATCAGCTGATCAGCCTTGCAGGGAAGGTTCCAGATAAGGTATGGTTCTTTCCAAGAACTTGCATTAACATACCTTAACTCTTCTAATCTCATTACCACTATCTTTCCATCCGTATAACTGAGCACCTTGATGAGCACTTGACTCTGCTTGTAATGTCTTCCCACAAAGCATCCATTAGTGCCCTAGTCAGTATTCTATTGCTCTGAAGAGATACAATGACGGTGACAAGTGTAATTGGAGGCCTGCTTACAGTTTCAGAGGATCAGTTCATTCTGGAGCAGTAACCGGGAGTAACATCCTGACTCATGGGTAGAAAGAGAGAGATACTGGACTTAACATGGGTTTTGAAACCTCAAGGCCCACCCAGTGACACACTTCCTCTAATAAGGTCATACTTACTCCAAGGACACACCTCTTAATCTTTCAAATCTTTTCAAAGAGTTCTGTTTCCTGATGACTAAGTATTCAAGTATATGAACCTATGGGGCCATTCTTTTTCAAACCACCAGTCTCAGCCAGCTTCTTGATTTCTCCAGTTCAGTTTTAATCAAACCAGAGGTAGATTTTATCTAGCATAATGTTATTTCATAAGTTCCGTGATGTTTGTTTGTTTTTTATGATTTGGCCCTCTTTTTTTTTGTTATTACTTGTTTTTATTGTTTTCTTTTTCCAGTTACAAGAACATCATTTTCTCTTTCCTCCCTCCAAACTCTCCTTGTTCTCTTTCAAACTCATTTTCTCTGTTTTTTCATTAGTTATTGTCACATACATATCACATTTCTTGTACTATCTTTGGGTTTTAAAAAGATGTTCTAGTGTTGCAAAATAGCTCAATCCATTAAATGCTTACCTTTTAAGACTTGAGTCCTGTGTTATATCTAAGCACTTTCTTAGGTTAAAACTGTGTTTGGTATAGTGGAGAGCTCCTTTAATCCCAGTGCTGAGAAGACAGAGACAGGCAGATCCGCAGAGCTTTCTGGTTTGCCCTAGAACTCACTTGTGAGGCAGTCTAACTAAATTGAAGGACTTCAATTTCAATGGGAGACACAGTCTCAAAAAGTAAGGCTGAGAGACATTGAGGAAGTTATCTGCCATCAGAACCTGATCTCCACATTCATGGATGTGCACATGAATTGCCACATGTGTCCATGCAAATGCCAGACAGGTACAGAAGTGAGTGGTTAAACCTTTCATTCAGTGCTTGCCTGTGTTACGACCTGCACAAACACTGCAACAAATGAACAGAAAACCAGTGGGCTGGGGATGTCGTTCAGTTGGTAGAGCCTTTGCCTGCTGTACAGCAGCCCTGGGTTCAATCTGTACAACTGCATTTAGAAGACAAATCTTAGGCTACTTACTTGTAGTTTAATTGTACGCTTTTAAAATATTATTAGTAATTAACAGGTAACCTGTTTGTTTTCATTGACACTTAAATGAAATACAGTCTCTTGGATGTAATATGATGCCATGCTGTTTGTTGGCACTTAGAAAATTCTACCTTTACCTACTGATTCCCGCTAATGCCACATGAGAGGCATTGCTTGATTGGTATAAAACTTAGAAATAAGAAATTAATTAACTAATCACATATCCATTGAGATCTTCTTTTCATTAGCATGCTATTGGTTTTGATAAACAGTTGCAGGATCTGACTTTGAGACCTCAATTATTTATATAGTTGCCTTTATGGCTCTCATCTATAAAAAAAGAGTATTGGTTCCTGAACATTAGATGGAGATTTCATCCCTGATTAACATTCCTTCAACTGCTTCCCTTCAGGTTGGATAACTGATAAAACAGCAAATATGGAAAGCTATTGGGAGTCACAGATTCTCTTTATATGTTAGCGAGCAGATTTGATTTGTATATTAAACACCTTTTTATTTTTAGTTTCTGTCTATCTTTTCCCTTTTAGATAATTCCACTTATATGCAGGTGCTTCGAACCTAGCAGGGTATTTATAGATGCTTGTGTAACAGGAGTTTATGTGTACGTATTATATGACTGCTGCTCATCTACGAACTAAATGGTACCTGAGTGGGATTCACTCAATGGTTGTACCTTGTGTGTGATTTTAGATAATTTTCTTGTGGAACCACTGATTAAAATAATTTTTCAAATTTCATTTGTATTAGCAAGCATTAAAGGAAAACATCAAAAAACGAGAAGCAGCGGAAAAGGACAAACGAGCCAGGATAGCGAAAGAGCGAGCAGAGAAAGAACGACTTGAACGCCAGCAAGAGAAAAAGCGCTTACTAGAAATGAAAACTGGTGAGTGCGGTCGCCTTCCCTGTTCGTGCTGCGCACACATAAGACTCATGTGGTTCTTCATCAGTGTTTTAACGTAGTCGATGGACAAGGAAATGTGATCACTTGTTTCTGTGATTAGCTATAGAGCATATCTTTCCTCACAAGCCTTCCTCCTTTTAGTTTGCCAGTGTATGTTGTTTCTTAGAGGGTGGTGCTCTGTCAGACTTGTAAGTCCAGTGTCTTCTCTCCCATTATCATTATTGGATAACAAGTCTGTAACAGTGCTTCTCTACACTAATACATTTACATCCGTAAGAAACTCCACGGGAAATTCTGCAGGATATAGACTGATTTCTTGCACTGAATACAGCATAGGAAAGAGAAAAAGCGAGGAAAAGAGAGAGAAAGAGGAAACTGATTAAAGAGGTGGAAAGTACGCTGGGGTGTCACTTGCCTGGTGTGCATGAGTCTGAGGCTGAGTTCAGTCTCCATGACTTGAAGGGGAGGCAGAGAAGAAACAAGGGACTGGTAGTGGGCAGAGGAGACAAAGAGACAGACTGGAGAGACAGAGCTACCAAATGTAATCCTGATGAATAAAGAAACATTTGCTTACTTCATTTCCTCTAGATGTGACAATATTGTTGCCAGCCTGCTTCAGTATTCTTCAGCCACATATCCTGAAACTTCCTAGGCAAATAAACACAATGTCAAAGGTTTACAGAAAAATAGCCTGTGTTGACTGGAGCTTAGGAGCTCTGAGAAGGAAGCTGGATGACCTAGGAATAGGTTCTGAAGCTGCCTGACAGTACTGGGAAGGCTGTGCCCACTGTCCTGTCTTCTCTACTCATGCTAGAGTATGCTTTCTAACTGCAATGGACACCTTTTGACAAACTTGACAAATTTGATTACAACCTTACAGAAATATCTATTATATATTTTATAAAGTTAAATGTATCATATTCTGTTTGGGTTTTATTTATCTCATTTCACTTTATTTTTCCTTAGATGACTATTCATTTTTTTTTTTTTTAGTAAGAGACAGAAAGGGTTGTGGATCCAGATGGGAGAGGGTGAGGAACTGGGAAGAATATAAGGACAGGAAACCATGATCAGAATATATTATATATATATATAAAATATCTCTTCTCAATAAAAGAGAAAATGATACCGCTAACTAGAGAAACAATGTACTAGGTTGTAGTTTTATTTTCAACCTTAACAATATGACTCTTTTATTTCCAAGGCAATAAGTATTGAAGATTTTAATAAAAAATCCATCAGCCTCATTGGTAAATTCTGATAGTTTACAATTCAGGACAAGAAGTGCAGCTGTGGTTTCCCAGCATGAATGGTGATGCTGCTGCCTTGCCTTTTTTCCTTGCACTGGATGAGCATATGCTATGCTTAGGTGACAAACGGGTATAGTAGTGTGCCATGCCTGTCTCTTCTAGGATTCTAACTCCAATTCTAGGTTTATATTTGAAATTCAGAAAATGTTCAAGGAATATCTCAACGTGTTATCAAAAATGAATATCAAAAAGTATACTACTGCCTGTTTAAATATGCTTCTGGAATAATCTTAAATTAAAATCTTAGCCTAATTCTCTCTCTCTCTCTCTCTCTCTCTCTCTCTCTCTCTCTCTCTCTCTGTGTGTGTGTGTAAGACATATATTCTGTTGTCCTACATTGTTTTTCCTTAATTTCTTTCTATCACCAACATAGTGACTACTTCTCTCAAAAATTGAAAACAAGAATAAAACATTCCATTGCCTCTCAGTTTATCATAGAGCTCATTGTATATAGCCCCCCTAGATGATTTTCTAACAATTATTAGATAGTCTCTTTTCAAGACAGTCCGCAAATGATGACAGATGTGTCTAAGTAAGTAAAATATCTTTGGCCCATAGAATTTCTCAAACGCTGTTCATGCATTAAGGTCATATGCAGCACACCTGTTGACATTTTCCAGGGAAATACTATGTTCTAAGCATAACCTGGGTAAAAACAATTTACAAAAATTTCATTAAACTGGACATAGCCTCACAATGTCCTGTCTGAGATCCCCCCACCCTTTAATTTTCATTCTTCTCTTTTCTCTCGTTTCCTCTCTAGTTCTCTCCCTCCTTTTCTCTCTCTCCCCTCTCCTCTTTCTCTCCTTTCCTCTCCCCCACTCTTTCTCTCTCCCTACCCATCTCCCTCTCTCTCAATTGTATATTCTCTCTTTTTATCTTACAGTTCCTTCTCTCTCTGTGTGTCTCTCTGTCTCTCTGTCTCTCTCTCTCTCTGTCTCTATCTCTCTCTCTCTCACAAACACACACACACACACACACACACACACACGTACAGTATGGCTTCCAGCTTAGCTCTCTTATGGAATTCCTGAGTGTGGGACAAGTGGTTCTCTGCGCCTGTTACTGTTCCTGTGCCTATGGGGACTCTTTTCCTTCTATTTCCTTGTTTTATCCTATTGTGATGTATTAGCTTTTGTTTTCTCTTATATTGTTATATTTTATTACTGTGCCTTAGGTGATCATTTGTTTTCTAATGAGAGACAGAAGGAATGGAACCAGATAGGAGGGGGATTGGGAAGGAATATAGGGAGGGGAAACTATAACCAGAATATATTGTTTTATATAAATATTTAAATGTAATAATAAATGTCACTAGCTACAAGAGTCACAATAGAAAGCTATGATGTAAGAGCACTATTTTTGCATTATTTTCTATCTTTGGAAGACATCTGGGAAATTGAAAATTTGGGAAATAAATTCTAGACATTTGTTTTGATTTAAAGAATATAGAGACATACACAATTTAGATGGCTTATAGAAAACTTTCTCACCAAAGTGAACAAACTCATTTTTTAAAATCAACAATCAATGACAGTTATTCTAAATACTTCTTTCCTTAAAGGCAACTCAGTTGTTAATTCAGTCCTCAGTCTTTGAAAATAACTACCATAATGACATAAATCATACAGTAGTTCTTTCTAGTTTGCTTTTATTCTAAATGATATAAATACACAATTACCTCTTCTAATGTATGTTGAGTGTGATTTTTCTGAAATCCTAATTTTTCCAGCATTTTTGAAGCCTTTTTGCAATGGAAATAGAAGTTACTAACATAGTATAGCTTACCCACATTTGACTGCATTCTGATAGAGAATATCATTGGATACATACATTATCTTTTATGGTGACAGATCTGAGTGTTGATGATGTATTAAGAGAATGTGTTGATTTTCTCTTATTGTCTTACAAGTATTGATAAGAGTTTAATATATAGGTTACTTTTCATTGATTCATTCATCAATAAGCAAGATGCTTTTTCCTCTGTGCAGATGATAACTGTGATAACACAGAGTTATCATCTTTGTGTGAGATGATAACTGAGAATGAGCCATGTCTCTTTTGTACAGAAAGTTAACATTTGAATGAGTAGGTCAGCCACCAACTACATAAGTTCAAGTAGCAGTTTATATGAAGTAAAATAAGAAGCATAGTGACTGGCCGGGAGCTGGTATTGACAGAGTTTGATTTTATATAGCAAAGAAAGTATTACCTATATCTCAAATTTCTAATTGGAAATGTTGGTTAATAAAAGTCCTAAGGAATTAACATTATTTCTGACTGGTATGTTTGCTGTGGGATAAGCAGGCTCGCATTTCTCAATTCACTGTATTGCTTATGTACTTCATACTGTTGAGCATCTTTTTCAGAGGACCAGCTCAAAGTTTATAGAAAAATTTTCTTTGCCAGTATTGCTTTCTATAGAACATATTACTTCACAAACCATCATAGTCTTCTTTATCCTAGTCTTCATGATATAAAGATAGTGTGAGCTATTAGGTTAATATTAGTATTTGTTACTTCTTTGGACAGGAAATTTTCATTTCATCTAATTTTAGTGTGTAAGACATAACGACCTCTGAAGATGACTGAGCAAGAGACGAGTCCTCCTGTAACTGCCATAAGCTCACAGAGGTCATCTTCCCACACATTTTCCTGAGTTTAGTATTACCATGCAAAGAAGAACTGAATTTTTTTTAACAAATATACAAAGTGTCTAATCACTACCTAAGCTGGTAGAGTAATTAAATTCTGCACTTTTTTATTGACCATACAGAATGACTGCCCTTGGAGGGAGAATGGGCAGCTATGATCAAATCTACATGAGTGATTGTTATCAGTGTCCTTTCAAAATGGGACTTTGTTTATAGGATGAAAGTAAAATTGTGAGCTAGATCTCTTGCAAAAAGAAACTCACTGTCACGATTCCCTTTGAGTAGTAAGTCTGAAAACAAGACTGTAGGGTTCCTATCATTCTAGTGTTAAAAGTCATGTTCACTTGTTTCTTTCTGCAAGAAGAGTAAGGAGCTGTAATTCTGAGATACTCACATAAGCAAGTTTGGTGGTTTCTGCCAGTGCTTGGATATTATCTTATAAACAAATAAGGAAATTAATTTCAAAACGTCTTTATCACTATATGCATGTAGAATTAGTAAAGATGGTGTTTAAGTTTGAATTACTTTAATATAGAAAATACTAAAATATAAAACATCTATATATAGTATTGAGCATAGATAACAGTACTTATTTAAATACATAGCTACCCTTATGTAATTGTTTCTAGAAAGACATAAATGGGTATAATGGATTTATATAATTTTGAACAATGTTTTCCAATGCCATTTCTATTTCTTAAACATAGAAACAGACAGGGCATTTGATAATAGAATTGAACTATTATGTATTAAGATTTCCTGCTTATGTAAGATGATTCACATAATCTTTCAATAGCACATCAGAATGGTCTTGAAATGGACTCAGTGTTGTATAATTATGTTTTGTGGAGGAAGTAAATAAGAGCTTATTTAATGGAGCAATAAAAACTATACTAGCAGCCCCTATATTTTAGTCTTTAGGTTACAATTTGTGTATTATTTATTATGCTTAAATGTCTCATTTGGTGCAGCTTCAGTCTATTAAATAAGGGATAATTAGCTTTTAGGAATCCGTTGT